TAGAAAGAATGGTATTTCCAAGACTACCTGGTGAGATGAAAAACGTTCTCCACAGTTTCTTGTCACGAGTAACATCTCGTATTTCTCTTGTCATGTTAACCAGTCTACCTGCAACCGGTGGCACGCGACGGAAATCCAGGATCCTGGAAGAGAAAGAAAAAAGATGGTTTATGTAAAGGATTAAAATATAATGATAGTGATAGGTTTTAGGAAGGTTCATTACACTCTGAAGGCACATTTATCTGTGGTCTTTAAGGAGTAAAAAGCCCATCAACTTTAAACTGGATAATCTTTCATATAATATATTATAAAATATGTCCTGAATATGATCGGCTCTGACTTGCCTACATAGTACAGAGCAGATGCAAAATACAGAAGAGTAAGGGAACACATTGTTCCATGAAATAAATCAAGAATTCCAGAAATAAGAGACAGCAGAAACTTATTTTTGACTTTGTGTTACTTCAGGATTGTTATAGCATGCATCTTGCTCACCAATTTTTTAAGTGACTTGAGGAATGGGATTTCAGCCTCTTTCTTCCATAAACACCATCTAATAGATTTAAAAACTAGTAATTTTTTTTCTTGACAGTCTTAGTATTTGTTTGATTTATTTGCTTCTGCTCCTCTCTGTTTTAATACCCTTACACCAACCTAAACAATCTCCCTGAGACTAAAAATTTTCCCACAGGCAACGGCTGGGTGAAGAGCCTGTCTCTACCCCAAACTCCCCCGCCTTAGTAGATCATTAAAAACTCCCTACGAAGCATTGCTGTTAGATACAGTAGAAGAGCAAAGTCCCCATACAAAGCCTCCCCATAGGTGGGATTTTTATGTCCACTGTCTGCTGATCAGATTTTCTACATTGGGTAGCAATGCTTTTTCTGCTTGGTGTGTGGATATTTAACATACCTCCCTGCAGGAACTCCATTAATGTTTTTTCCTACAGCACCATCTGTTTAAAATGGCAATATAAAATATAAAGCACAAGGGATCAACAACAAGGTCAGCAACAATAAAATATAGACGATCCTTGAAGGATCTGACCAGGATGGCAAATCTACCCTGTGCCACCCACTGATCGGTTCCCTCATCCTAACCATCAACCCAGAAGGCAGCAATACTACACGTACCCCCAGATAATTTGTGGCCCCAAAGCTTCAAGCTTTTGAAGGATGTTTCTTGGCACTTCCGCGTGTGAAAGATGTTTCAGTTCTAACTCAGTCTGTGAAATGCCATGCCTTCTAGCCATGCTGTTAATAGCTCCTCACTAATTATTAATTCCTGCTCCTAATCTGGGCAGGCTGAAGGGCTGCAGTCCATTCCGAGCCTTGGGGTATCCTCCACGCCCTGCACTACCTCTGCCTGCGGGGACACTTTCAGCTAACAGGAGCATGGGATGACCATCAGTGTCCTCTCCTTCCTACCAACTTATGGCCTAAATATGCTCCTGATATGGGACGGCCCCAGCTTTTTGCTGTGAAACTGGAACTCCCTCCCCATCTCAATTATTCCTCTCTGAATACTCGCACGATTCCCCACGTCTCGCTCGGATTTGCATGCCCTGGAGCTAACGGGGGTGAGCCAGACCCCTGTCACACTTATGCTACACATTCCGCGGGAGATTGGTCCTCTCCATATGCACTTCAAGATCACAGGGGAAATTCATTTCTCGGCTTCTCTTCGATATAATTTCTCTTTCTTTTTGAGAATTACTTATTGCCAGGTTTCTTATTCCCAGAGCAAGTCGCATTTCCTAATTATTAATCTACTCTTTCATCATCTGCCGTTTCATTTATTCATGGCGTTTGCCCACCCTTGTTCCATTTTCCCCTTTTTTAAAAGTAATTCAGTTACAGGGCTGGCCAAGTGCAGAAACTTATCACAATATTTCCACTTTTCTTTTAATGCATATCCATTTTACTTGCCTGTCCAAATGAAATGCTGCTATTTCTGCATTATGTCTTTCATAGTCCGAGAAATAAAAAAAGTCAGGCGGTGTTTCTTGTTCTCTGGTTTGTCTGCAAAGAAAAACAAGGAAAGTGTTTTAATGAAGGGTTAGCATTTCTAAGGAGCAGTACTCAGTCATCAGCATGTTATTCAGGAGTTCAGTATTGTTTGCTTAATGGAAGGCCTTTAAATAACTTCATGTGTGCATTAGTTGCCATGTAGCCTTCATTTTATCTTCTTTTTTAAACTACTGTAACAAAAAATAGGAATTCAAGACTTGTGCATGCAGGCTGCTGTCACAAAGCTATTCCACTCAAGACGCTCACTCTATTTAACAAGATCTGTTTTATCACTCTCAAACATTTCATTAGTGATAGCGGTGAAGACAATGTCATTTCATTAAATTATCATTAACTGTAATTATGAAATTTCCGAAAGTAATAACATTTTTCTTTCATCTTTGGCAGCCATGCAGCTCCTATCTAAAATATGACTCTCCCTTTGTATTACTTAGAGCCAAAAGTGACATGTTTTTCTCATTTCAGAAGAAATGGGATCATTGCAGTTTGACGGCCACGACACATGTCATGTTTCAAAGAACATTAACAAGACCATGCTCCAGAGAGGATGCAGAATTTGTTGTTTCTTCAGTTTGAGAACCAAGAAAAAATGTCATTCTGATGGAAACAGAAAGGCTAAAGCTTCCACGCCAAACTCCATGGAAAATAGAAAGCTCTATATAACAGCAGAGCAAATCTCTCTCTCACTTCAGGCAATTTCCAGACCTGATGGCTTTTGGACGGAGCACAACTCAGGCAGTTGACCAGTACAATGTCTGGGCCCCACCTCAACCTGCATCATGCCCTATTTTGAAGTCTTAAATGGGAGACAAGCACTGCAAAGCGGTTCTGCAGAGCATCTGCAAGGGAGGACAGTTCCCCAGAAGAGGAAAACAAAGCTCTTTCTCACTCCGTGCTGTCACAGGTGGCCAGCTGACAGCTCGTGCGTCACCCATGCTACACACTGGCAATTAAAATACAGCTTCTACACCGGGACCTTGTCACATGAAAGGCTTTGGGGTGGTGTGGGTGCAGAGCTCAAACCTCCAGAGAATTTGCAGCAAGTCCTAATTACAAGGCTTGTTGGGAACCCGAAGCTATGTCCACCCACGCTCATTCCCACAAAGACCACCATGACTATCGCAACTTGTATATGCCTGTGAGCCCTCCTGTATCCACCTTGCTGAAGAAACCAGATGAGTCTCATGTTTTTTGGCTATATGAAGATTTTGCTATGCAACCAGCAGGGTCTGAGAGGCTGATATCCTACTTCAGACGTTCTTCTTTATATTAAGATCTTGGCAAGGTACTCTATCCTGCCCTAAATGATGTACAATTGCCATCATAGAGACAACATCAAGATATTTGACTTGTGTCCAGTGTAACTCAAAGTGGAGGGTCCTCCAACAGCCCAGTGATGCTCTGACCAAAACAGCACCGACCACCGTAATAGTAGTGGTCTCGGAGGCGGCCAACACTTGGCAGAAGTCCTGCTAGGGTGCTGCTGTGGCTGCCAAGGGTTCATAAGGACACAAGCTAAAAGTGAGCCTGGCATAAAATAAAAAATAATATTTTGCTTTGTCTCCATAATAAATGCAAAAGGAGAAGGAGTGTGCCCACAAAGAGGAGTATGGGAGAGCCAGAAACCTGTGGCACGTCACACAGTACGCCATTCAATCAAGACAAGAGCTAGGAAAGCTGCAACCTCGTTCTGCATATTCCCCTCAAAAATGAAGAAATGAGCTCTGAATATAAATTCAAAGGAAAAGATTAACATATTTCTGTTGGGCAGAAAATTACACATTTGTATATAACTTTCCCTCCCCTCCAGATTTTAAAATATTCAATTTCTTCAACAAATCAAAGAGAGAAAGATTCATCCCAAGCTTTTGCAAACTTTACACATATCAGCACAGCTGATAAGTTGCAGAAAATATTACTAATTAGCTAATCAATGCCATCTTTTTATCTCCCAAAGACTTTAAACAAGTCATGGCTGTTCCTTTACAAGAAAATCTTGCTCCAGAAAAACAGACTTAAATAAAGGGTAGATCTCAATCTTGCAAGCACAGCTAGACCCACAGCCCAGCTCCTTCGCGCTGCCTGCTCGATGCGCCGGGCAGTCAGTACATCACCGCCGGGATAGTCCGGTCTCTCTAATTTCACTTTTCTATTTGCTCCCTGCCACCCCCGGCAATGGCTAGGGATATTATTCATTCGGGAGTAAGTATAGCTGTCCTGCAGGCTTCGACTTGTTTGTACATATTTCTCTCCTGTCATAATGTATTATTAAGTGGTAGTGCACCCTCCTAGAAAATCATGAACTTGATTGTCCTAAAACCTTCAAAAATGGACACCAAATCCACAGTGCAATCTAGACAATGGAAATTGGTATTTTTTAAACCTGACTATACATCATGAAACTAACTCCCAAGTTTCTTTGGTGCTTCAGGTGCTTCCCTCTACTTATCTGTAGAAAAACACCCTCCAGCTACATGGTCCATGCCCATGTCAAACAGTTACAGCTCCCACTTTTCTGTCTCTTGGAAATACTGGATTATTCTGAACGTAGACTGGAAGGAGTATTTATCAAATCCGCAATCTGCTTTACATGCCTTATGTTCCTTTGCAAAGCTCTATAGAACTAAGATGTAGCAGATCCAACGTGAAACCCTCTCCTGAAATAACCTTGAAAAATCCTTTCTGCTGACTTACCCCAATATCCCATAGAGAGAACTGGAACTTTGTTCCTTGGATCTGACTTCAGCTGGCAAGAGTTTTATTCAAACATACATTTATCGTTATTTTGATGTCTGCAGCAGCACCTCGAGAGATTCATTGGTAATTCCTCAGCCACAGTAAGCTGCCATACCACCAGCAAACGTTGACACATGTGATGATCACAGCCTAAGGTACACAACTGAACTTAAAAAGCCACACGACCCTCAAAGGCTTTGAATCAATGGAATCAATGGACTGTTATGAGAATGGCTTTAACAGTGTTAAAATCATAGAATCAT